ACTGTATATTTATTAAATTATATTTATATAGGCTGGAGTTAAATCTGTTTAAGAATTATTCAAGAAGATTCATGATGAAATTAGAAAGAGTTCAGATAGAGTTAAAAGAGCTGCTAAATAAAATCCAAAGAGAGATCATACTAAATTCAGAGCCAAGAGATTAAATGCTAAATAAAGAAGAGCAAATGCTTTAAAAAAAATAGATATTGCCACCAAATAAGCTGCTAAATTAAAGAAGAAGGCATGATTTCATTTATATTTGGTACATTATCATAAAACCCCTTTATCTATTCTATTAATTTATGCATTTTAATAAAATAATTAATTATGATCCAAACTCATAATGAATAATGTGATCACTTCTAAAAAGATGAGCTTAATGCATTATCTGCTATTTATTTATCAGACTTTGAATAATTAAAAGATGTGCATCCTTATTCATTTTAAATTATTGTTGCCCCATTTGTACCAGCAGATTAATTTTATCATGAAAATGTTGTTTATTGCAAAATTTTTATCGCTTTCCCAGATGATTATCCATTAAAATCATAGAGATTTCATTTTGAAATCCAAGGCTTAAGTAGAAATTTCACTTAGGATTTTTTAATAAGAGCAAAAAAGATATGTGAATAAGTAATTGAACAACATGAAAAAGAAGCTGATTGTTAACCAATAGTGTTTGCAGTTGTAGAATCATTAAGAGTAATTATATCAATATATTTTTAGGATTATATTTATGATTAATCTATGTATTTATAAGAATTATATGATCAATAAAATTCAAAAGCAGATGATAGTTACATCTATATACCACCTATGCCTAAATTTGCTACAAATACACCTGTTAGTCTTGAAACATTCACTGCTTGGAAGAAAAAATTTGATTAAGAGATTTATGAAATTAAAAAAAGAGAAAAGAATTTTACATAATTAGAAGAAATGATGAAAAAAATTAGTGGAAAACAATATTTTGATAGAAAATAAAATAAAGAAGATGATGTTGAAATCTAATAAATTATTAATGAAGATGATGATGTTGAAGAATTAGAAGATGAAGATTATTAAGGAGAAGATGATGATAATGAAGAAGATGATCAAGATAGACCAGTATATATTTTTTATTTATTTTTTTAGTTGTATGAAAGAGAATAACTTGAATGATTTATATAATTATGCAATTATCTATAAATATTGAATTACTTGATGGGTGGACTAAAAATCATTTCTATAGAACCAGCTATTAAACCATGAGAAATCAAGATTAAATTCTACTTAAAAATTCAGCTATTCCTGGTTATGCTGGACATATTCCATATACAAAATCAGAAAATATTTTTGGCAGACCTTTTTCAGCAATTACAAGAGAAGCATTTAATCATGTTCCAATAGCAACAGAGAAATGGAATTCTTCAACTAAAGTTTTATTCAAGAATCCAAAAAGTATAATTTCCCCTACCTATCGTGAAACTGACAAGGTACTCAAAAACTAAAAGTTTCGGAATTCTGGTTTTGTACAAAATAACAGTACTGGAGATTAGAAAGGATGGAAAACTCATAAAAGCATAAGAGGAAACAATAAAGTTACTGAATATAGATATGCTTATGATTCCAAATATGAAAAAAAATTATGATTATTATTATTTATATTTGATGTCAACTTAGTACAGAGTTCCCTCTAATGATCATTACATACGTGACTTAGAAAATATCTCTTAGAGGTATAATTGATACATAAAAAAAGAGAGCGTCATGGATTATTTAATTAACCACCTCCTCTATTAGTGGGAGATGAATATAACGATGCTTTAAAAAGTATAGAATATTTTCATATTATTAAGGTCAAGGAAAAGAGAAAGGAATTCTTATTAATAAAAAACTCTAAAAAAAACATGAACCTGTTTTATTTTCAGAACCTGGATATACATCCTTAAATGATCCTTATAAAGATTAATTTAAAGCTAAATAAATTTATGACAAAGAGAAAGAACTAGCCATCAAAAATCCTAATAGTTTTAAGCCAAACGACCATTAAAAATCTGTGTATAAAATTTTACCTATTCAGTAAACATTCTGAATTTGAACATATGAAAGAATATAATGATAAAGTATATAAAACTAGAAATTCAGCTGGGAATGTAATCACATAGGCAAGAAATTTTTTAACAAATCCTGCGAAAAAAGGATTGGGTAGAACAACAATTAACAATTTATTTAGTTAGATTGAATATATTCCTGATCCTTATGATAGACAAGATGAAATAGATAGGAAAGAGAGAATTCAACATAAAAGCAAATAATTACCCGGGACTACAAGATTTATTACAACTAGCTGTGGAAATAGACCCTTTACTGCAGATGGTATCTTATTAGATGGTGCAGGATATACAATATGTATAAAATGAATAACCAATCAAGATAAAAAACCCCCTATTTATAAAGGAAATCCATTTAGACCATCAAATTCTAATAAAAAAGGGTTCTAAGGAACGTTCGAAGTACTTTAATACATGGAAGAAGGAGGTCCTGATATAAAAACAAAATAAAATACTTTCCAAAAATTGACGGCAACTTAAAAATTTGAAAGACCTTGGAGACCTAATTCAAACGGAACATTTTCCAGACCTTGTCCTAGTGTTTGTTAATAATTAAGGAATAGAAGTGCAGGATCAAATTAAAGAATATGATTTAAGCTTATAATAAAATTTTTATTTGTAAAATTAAAGCTACCTCTTTTTTCTTATGATTTAATTTATATATTAACTTAATTATGAAAAGGAAAAAATAAAATAAGAATATTTAAACTTTTCTGCTAGATATGTGATTTTAAATAACAATATTTTAGATATTTGTTAAACTTTAAAATATTTTTGATGAAAGGCAAATAAATATTGTATTTCAAAAACAATGGAATGGTTTAAATTTGGAAATTTGACCTATTTATATTTGAAATATATTAAATAAATCTGCAATAATTGAAGATTTTGAAATACTGATGAAAAATATTAAAATACAAAAAGATAGATTATAGAAGAAGGATCAATAGAGTGCTGCATCGATGTGAATTGAAAATAGGTGTGGAAGAATAATGTATATATCTAGATGTGTAAATTAATCGAGTTATAATGAATTTGAGTAGATTTTTAAAAAGTTTTCTGATGGAGAGTGATTAGAAATGGAAGAATTACTATGGAAGTTAAGTGTGGATTTCGATTATCAAAAAGAGAATGAGAATTTAAATGAAAAGGGAACCTAAGAATTGGAATCAACCAAAATATATTATATTCTGTATTTAATGAATTTATTTTTTTCATAATTTTTATAAGAAGAAGAATTGATAGACTTAAAATCATGTGAAATTGTAGTTGATGTTAAAGCCATAACTAAATCTAATTTTTTACAGATGATATTTAGTTCTAATAATTCTAGTATTCTTAAGAAAGGTATTAAGAGAATGGTTGAAAAAGTTCCATGGAATTTCATGAATAATTAACTAAATTTAAAAGCATTTTTTTGAGAACATCTAATCCATTAAATTGCCAATTTTTCCAATTAATAAAAATTATTAACAAAGAGAAAATTATTTTTGAATATTTATGATATAAAAATGTTCTTACATTATTTTTCTGTTAAAATAAAATTAAAAACATAAATAAATATTTTAGAACAAATTTCTCGTAGCAATTAATAAAAAGATAATACATTTTACAAAAATTCTAAGTTCAAAATATATTTTTATAAAGATAATTGTATATGGGAGGTTAAGTTCAACATATGTTTTAGGAATATTGGAAGTACTTTTTTACAATAAAAATATAATCTTTGAAGATATATAGATGATATTATAGTGATTTAAACGGTATTACTATGAAAATCTTTAATAAATAATGCAAAAATTGATCATCTCATATTTGAGATAATTAATGGCCTAATTTATAGAGGGATATGGAAAGATTATTAGAAGGGTAAAATCATGAAGTAGTAATGAAGCACAAGATTCCGCAAAAAAATAAGTGGCAGAGAGTAACATAAAAATTATTATTTATTAAAACATTTTAAAATTTAATGTCGAAGGAGAATAAATGTTCCCGTTTTAAAAAATCAAAAATGCAAATAGATACACTTAATGACTTTTATTAGAAACAATAAATCTGGGGATAAAATACAATTAAAGAAATAGCTAGCATCACAAATTTACCAAAAGAAAAGATTTATAAATGGTATTGGGATCAAAACAAGAAGTTCAAATAAGAGAATCCAAGAGTTGAAACTGAAGGAGAAATCATTGTAAAACAAGATAGTTTAAGTTCAAAGACCCATGAAATATTATATTTTAGAGGTCTTTAATTTAATTAGGAAGCGGATCAAAATTTAAAAAATAGACTGCTAAAATTAGCAAGAGATTTGATATTAATAAAATGAAGAATTTTTATTTTTAATTAAATTAAAAATATTGTTTTATTATTTTCAATTAAAGAAAGAAGAAAGTTATTGTTAACTTTAGTTTTCATTCAAATAATCATTTTATTATTGGTATTTTGATTAAATAGAAATTAAGAAATTCATGTTTGTTAATCGTAGCAATAAAATCTGGATGAATACATTTAGAGTATTATCATTTCATAAGAATTAAAAAAGCAAACGAAAATTTTATATAAAATAATGAAAAATGATAATTTGCTTGTAAATTAATAACCTAAGAGTTCTATAAATAACTAGAATTCATCTCCAAAAAAACAATATACTCCTTTAGATACAATGTCTTAGATTATATAATTTAATCCTTAATCTTCAAATCAGAAATCATAGTCTCCTCATAGACCAAAGGATTAACCAAAGCAAAGCTTTTACTTTATACAGGATGATGGTTTAAGATAATAAGAAACATCTTAAAAGTTTAATGAAGTTAAAAATAATTATCATATTACTAAGCAGTTAACAAATAGAAATGATAAATAAAGAAAATAAATAGATTTATCTAGTAATGTATTTGAGAATAGCAAAAATATAGATATGAATTTTAAATCCCCTGAAAATTAATAATTAATTAATACATCAGTGGAATGGACAAATGTGCATTATGGTAAAGTACTAACATCAGTGAATGAGAAAGCAGAATTTGGAAAAGATTATGCTAAATAAAGGAAACATTAAGAGTTACAACAATAATATCAGGAAGGCTCTAAGCATAAAAGCCCTTCAAAAATAATAGAGAATGAGATTAATATTTAGTCAAAGAAATAAAATCAATAATTTTCTGATATTTTTGGACAAGAATTGGGAAACAAAGAAAGAAAATGGTTAAGACCTTAACGTAGTCTCTCACCTTAAATAAAATGGACGACCTTTGATAGTATTAGAGATTATAAAGATTTTGGAGATATGAGAATTAAAGTAACATTACATTATATATAATAAAGGAATCTAAACTACGTTCAATACAAACAGAAGATCAAAAGGATAATTAGAAAGATTAACATAAATTAAATCATCCTTTGACATCACCATTTTTTGATGTAGATATATAGTAGTTATTTTGATAGTGCCAAATGTCATATGATAAGATGAAAGGGTAATACAAATAGTAAAATTAATTAAAATATGTAGAGATTGGATCATAAAAGAAATTTGGGTAAGAGAAAAAGATTGAACTGAGTAGTAGTAATAAAAAGTATGAAGGAATTTATTCATGGAAAAACAACTATTAAAAATGAAATTATTTATTTATTTTTTTAATGTAATAATTAAAGAATAATTACATTTAATATTTAAGAGATGGAATTTAGATGAATAAAGTAGAAATGGAAGATTTCGGAGGTATGTTTGGNATTTTATATAAAATAATGAAAAATGATAATTTGCTTGTAAATTAATAACCTAAGAGTTCTATAAATAACTAGAATTCATCTCCAAAAAAACAATATACTCCTTTAGATACAATGTCTTAGATTATATAATTTAATCCTTAATCTTCAAATCAGAAATCATAGTCTCCTCATAGACCAAAGGATTAACCAAAGCAAAGCTTTTACTTTATACAGGATGATGGTTTAAGATAATAAGAAACATCTTAAAAGTTTAATGAAGTTAAAAATAATTATCATATTACTAAGCAGTTAACAAATAGAAATGATAAATAAAGAAAATAAATAGATTTATCTAGTAATGTATTTGAGAATAGCAAAAATATAGATATGAATTTTAAATCCCCTGAAAATTAATAATTAATTAATACATCAGTGGAATGGACAAATGTGCATTATGGTAAAGTACTAACATCAGTGAATGAGAAAGCAGAATTTGGAAAAGATTATGCTAAATAAAGGAAACATTAAGAGTTACAACAATAATATCAGGAAGGCTCTAAGCATAAAAGCCCTTCAAAAATAATAGAGAATGAGATTAATATTTAGTCAAAGAAATAAAATCAATAATTTTCTGATATTTTTGGACAAGAATTGGGAAACAAAGAAAGAAAATGGTTAAGACCTTAACGTAGTCTCTCACCTTAAATAAAATGGACGACCTTTGATAGTATTAGAGATTATAAAGATTTTGGAGATATGAGAATTAAAGTAACATTACATTATATATAATAAAGGAATCTAAACTACGTTCAATACAAACAGAAGATCAAAAGGATAATTAGAAAGATTAACATAAATTAAATCATCCTTTGACATCACCATTTTTTGATGTAGATATATAGTAGTTATTTTGATAGTGCCAAATGTCATATGATAAGATGAAAGGGTAATACAAATAGTAAAATTAATTAAAATATGTAGAGATTGGATCATAAAAGAAATTTGGGTAAGAGAAAAAGATTGAACTGAGTAGTAGTAATAAAAAGTATGAAGGAATTTATTCATGGAAAAACAACTATTAAAAATGAAATTATTTATTTATTTTTTTAATGTAATAATTAAAGAATAATTACATTTAATATTTAAGAGATGGAATTTAGATGAATAAAGTAGAAATGGAAGATTTCGGAGGTATGTTTGGAATTAAAGCTATTGATAATATTTAATCAGGTGAATTTCTGATAAAAGTGTCCCATAAATATGCAATAAGCGCATTCACAGTATTCTAAAATGAATAATGTGTAGATATTATGAAGAGGAATCCTCATATATATCCATCATTACAATAAATTGGTAATAAATAAAGTGATTTTTAAACATTAATACTTTATTTGACAACATAAAGACATGGCAAATTAAAGCCAATATTTGATGTTTCAGAAAATCCAAGTTGTTTGCTTGACTGTGATTAAGAAATTCCATTTGATTATTTAAGAGAATTGAAGTTAGAATTCGAAGAGGAATATAAGGCAGCAAAAGATGAAGTAATGTTAATAGGATTAAGTAGTGAAGATTATGATTGGGCATATAGATTTTGCATGAATAGAAGATTAAGTGTGTATAATGATTATCCTTTTTCATTTTTAGTACCTATGATTGATATGATAAATCATGGCAAGAATAAAGCAATCTTTGGTTTGGAATAGGACAATCATCAACCAGAAGACTATATATAAAATAACTATATGAAATACAAATATATTTTGTAAAATAAATATTGGTTTACTTAAGAGGATTAGGAACTAATATAAAATGTTAAACTAAATGAAAGTGAAAGATGTTCTAAGATATTAAATAAATTATTAACAAAGTTATTTTAAGAATTACTCAGAACAGGATCTCAAGATATTTGGGTTACTAAATTGATGATGCCTGATGATTCAGAAGATGAAGATGAGCCCACCGATAAGAACAATCATTAATCATAGTAATTAAATACCAAAGATACTAAAGTTTAAGCTGCAGTAAATGATGATTATTTAAGAGATTATTATGAATAATCTTTAGATTAAAGTGAACATGATTGGTATACAGATATCTAATAATAAACTCTATCATGTCCAGCATATCTTACAGCAAGGGCAGTAGATGATATTGAAAAAGGGGAGTAAGTCTTAAACTTGTATGGATGTTTAGGAAATGAACATTTACTTATGTATTATGGATTTGCTCTAAATAAAAATAAATATGACAGAGTTAAATTCAGAATCTTTATGGATTGTAGTACTAAGTACGATTTTTTAAATAACATTGAAAAATTAGTGTAATTACATTATGTTCCATACAAAGAACTATTAAATCTTAATACTAGAGGAATGAGTCTCCATTAGTTAACATCTGAATTTAAAATTAAGAAAAGTTAATTTAATTTAGATTTAATTCAATTCCTCAAAACTTATCTCTAATTACTTGATGGGGAAGAGTCAATCAATGAAGAAATTATCATAGTTCTCTATAGAAGAATAATTAACTCTTTATACAAAAAGATCTCCTCTCCTATTATAATAAGAGATTCCTATTGGGGGTAACAACTTTTTAATTATCAAAATTCAAAAGTAAGAATTCTCAAGGCACATCTAGAAATGATAGATAATCTGACAACAAAAGCAGAGAAGATGGATATTAAAGTGTTTATGAGATTAAGAGCATATTTACTTAAATAAAACTGAATATTGTTTCATATTATCAAGCATAATTCTCTTCTAATAGGTCTGGGTATACCTTATCTATTTTTAAGACTAATTCTCCAAATAATCCATTTGCCCAGGCAAACAAAGGTTTTGTGAAACGGTTTGGATTGTCCTTAAAAAAACTTTCATGCATAAACCATTTATTTCCTGTAGTTGTTACAAGCATTCTCAAGCATTCTCTTAATTCTTGTTTATTATTAGTAGTCAATCCTTAAGTAATAATTGCCATTGGCCAATTATAATTAGTTCCTATATGAGGACCTCCAATTCCTTTAGCTGCTGTACCTTCATAATAATAAGGATTTGATGAACTTAATGCTTTTTTTCTTGTTGCCTGATACAATGGATCATCTATTTCTATAAATCCATATATTGGTAAGGAAAGCAAACTTGGTTAATTTGAATCATCCATAAATACTTATTTACCCATTCCATCAACCTCATAAACAAATGCTCCATCCTTTATTCCATATTTATAAATTGCATCTTTTATCTCTTATGATAATGCTAAAGCTTCCTTAATTAATGGTTCAGCTGCTTGTCTTAAAGGCCAAGATAGTTAAGCTTCACTTAACATTTCAGCTGTTTATTTTAAAACTGCTGCAGCCATTGCATTTTCGGGAATATTAAATTAATAGACGGTAGAATCATCGGAAGCTCTAAAAAATGTTCTCAACATTCCAGTTCTTTTAACTGGTTCACCTATACCATTGATCACTGTATCTGTTGACCTAGCATTTCTTTAAAATGTGTATGGAAATCTAAAACTTTTAAATTATTCTTGTTGATCGGCTTATGAATCTCTAAATGTTCTCAATATTCTTTAAACAGCCTTTGAGTATTTGAAATTTATTATTGATGTGTCATTTGTTTTTCTGTAATAGCCAACAGATAATCTTAAAACAGCAACTAATGAATCAATTTCGAATTTCCTCTCATGGAAATGCTATGACATTGCATGTACATTAACTCCTAAAAAACAGCGAGTTGTATTTTCATTACTCCAATCCGATTTTTTTTTTGATAATTAAATGCATTAGCATATGGATCGATTAAGACTTAATTAATTTGACGATTTATTGCTCCCTTTACTAAATTTTATAATTTGCTATCTATATTAACAAACTCCATGTAGGTCCATAATTAATTAGTACTATCTCTTAGCCACATAGCGGTAATATCACCAGTAATCACAAAACTATCTGGTATGTTTGGATCATAGCTTATTACTGTTGTATCAAGAGTATTTGGAAATGAATTTATAAAAGTGTATTTAAGATTATTGTCTTTCATTTTTTCAGATATTTTTTTTAGCTATAAATTTACTCTTTTTATTGTTTCTTTTATTGTTTCAGATACAAATTTTTTTTCAGCAGGTCTCAAATTTGATTACCCCAATAGATCAACTGTGAGTAAAGATGCAATTATTATGAAATTCATAATATTAATTAATACAAAGTACTATCAAAATAACTATTATATATCTACATCAAAAATAGCGATTTTTAAGGATGATTTAATTTATTTAAATCTTTCTAAATATCCTCTTGATTTTTTATTTGCTATTTATTTATTTCAGATTCCTTTATTGTAAATAATGTAATGTTACTGTAAGACTCACATCTCAGAAATCTATATTATCTCTAGTACTACCAAAGGTCGTCCATTTTATTTAAGGTGAAAGACTACGCTAAGATCTTAACCATTTTCTTGCTTTGTTTCCAAATTCTTATCGAAACATATTAGAAAATTATTGATTTTATTTGTTTGACTAAATATTAATCTCATTCTCTATTATTTTTGAAGGGCTTTTATGCTTAGAGCCTTCCTGATATTATTGTTGAAACTCTTAATGTTTCCTTTATTTAGCATAATCTTTTCCAAATTCTGCTTTCTCATTCACTGATATGAGCACTTTACCATAATGCACAAATATGCATTCGACTGATGCATTAATTAATTATTAATTTTCAGGGGATTTAAAATTCATATCTATATTTTTGCTATTCTCAAATACATTACTAGATAAATCAATTTATTTTTTTTATTTATCATTTTTATAAGTATATGGTAATTATTTTTAACTTGATTAAATTTTTAGATATTTCTTATTATCTAGATGCATCATCTAAAGGAGTATATTGTTTTTTTGGAGATGAATTCTAGTTATTTATAGGTTATTAATTTACAAGCAAATTATCATTTTTCATTATTTTATATAAAATTTTCGCTTACTTTTTTTATTCTTAAGAAATGATAATACTCTAAATGTGTACATCCAGATTTTATTCCTGCGATTAACAAACATGAATTTCTTAATTTCTATTTAAACAAAACATCAATAATAAAATGATTATTTGAATGAAAACTAAAGTTAACAATAACTTTCTTCTTTCTTTAATTGAAAATAATAAAACAATATTTTTAATTTAATTATCAAATCTCTTGCTAATTTTAGCAGTCTATTTTTTAAATTTTGATCCGCTTCCTAATTAAATTAAAGACCTCTAAAATATAATATTTCATGGGTCTTTGAACTTAAACTATCTTGTTTAAAAATGATTTCTTTTTCAGTTTCAACTCTTGGATTCTCTTATTTAAACTTCTTGTTTTGAACCCAATACCAATCAAAGCCATTTAATATACCAAAAGAAAAGATTTATAAATGGTATTAGGATCAAAACAAGAAGTTCAAATAAGAGAATTCAATAGTCGACTCAACTTTTAAAAATCAACATAATAATCATAAGAATAAATTAATTATCAATGTTATTGGAAGAATTTGTCTTAAAGAAATTAGATAATCTATCGCTTTTAACCTATCTTACATGTTTTATAATCACATCAAAACTGTGAATACATAAGGTAATGGAATCTCTATAGGGGTTCATAGACATTTAAATCTAGAAACATCTCATAAACACTATCTTCTATGAATTAATCAATAATTACATCAATAAAATTTAAGTTATATGTATAATTTAGGGTCATTTTACTTTTAAAATCTTCATTAGGAAGTTAAATATTAGAAGTACTTTCAAAAGATGAATTAAAAAGTGAATTATGAGATTAAATTAAAGACACCTTAAATTTTAAATATTAAAATATGGGCTCATGAATGTAAATTGTTATCTAAAAATAAATTTTGATTAATAAGATGTAAAATAGCTCTGTCAGATAAGTAACTGATTGTTCTGAGTAATTCTTAAAATAACTTTGTTAATAATTTATTTAATATCTTAGAACATCTTTCACTTTCATTTAGTTTAACATTTTATATTAGTTCCTAATCCTCTTAAGTAAACCAATATTTATTTTACAAAATATATTTGTATTTCATATAGTTATTTTATATATAGTCTTCTGGTTGATGATTGTCCTATTCCAAACCAAAGATTGCTTTATTCTTGCCATGATTTATCATATCAATCATAGGTACTAAAAATGAAAAAGGATAATCATTATACACACTTAATCTTCTATTCATGCAAAATCTATATGCCCAATCATAATCTTCACTACTTAATCCTATTAACATTACTTCATCTTTTGCTGCCTTATATTCCTCTTCGAATTCTAACTTCAATTCTCTTAAATAATCAAATGGAATTTCTTAATCACAGTCAAGCAAACAACTTGGATTTTCTGAAACATCAAATATTGGCTTTAATTTGCCATGTCTTTATGTTGTCAAATAAAGTATTAATGTTTAAAAATCACTTTATTTATTACCAATTTATTGTAATGATGGATATATATGAGGATTCCTCTTCATAATATCTACACATTATTCATTTTAGAATACTGTGAATGCGCTTATTGCATATTTATGGGACACTTTTATCAGAAATTCACCTGATTAAATATTATCAATAGCTTTAAT